AGACAAATGAAAAGAACTGGGAGACAAATGAAAAGAAGTGGGAGACAAATGAAAGGAAGTGGGAGACAAGCCAGCCGGGAACCCGACCACAAGCACCCAGCTTGGGAGACAAATGAAAAGAACTGGGAGACAAATGAAAGGAAGTGGGAGACAAGCCGGCCGGGAACCCGACCAGACCATCCAGCACCAAGGCGACCATTCTTTAAAGCATTGAGAACCCCTAACAGTAAACTGTTTGGGGAAAAAACAACACGTTGACGTTGACTGTTGGACGAAATCCTCCAAAGATCGAGAGACTCGTTTGGAAGAACGAGAGACTCGCTATAAAAGACCATTGGAAGAGGGGATGAACCACGCTGCCCAAGGTAAGGCAGGAGTTTGTCCCAATGAAACATATGATATCCGGAGATTATCTATGTTATATAAAATATATCATATGATTATCCATATGACAATAAACATATGATATCTCAGACGGTTATCCAATGGGTAAGGTGTTGATTGATGTTGATTGTAGTGGAGCAATATCCCTTGGAGTTCGATCATCCACTGTACGACTTACCAACACTAGGCAATATAAGAAGCAAGTATGGTCGACGGAACACCGAAGCCAGCACCAAGTTCGCCGAAACCACTCCAAGCATAAGGGGAAAGCTGGCATGCTCTTCCAGAGGTGCTTGCGGTGGAGGTTTGCCACCTCACTGGAAGGTTTCCTGCCGGAGATGCCGGACCCATGTCGCTCCACCCGCTCCACATCGATCCTTGGGGGATCTTCGTCGAAAGTGAGGAGGAGATGGTGTAACACCGGCGGTGTCACGGAGCCGAAGTGGACGAGAGCCGAGTCGCGTTTCGCTTCGGCAGGTTGCTCTTCGCGCTGGCGCTCAGCAACCCCGATTGGCAGGGCAAGTGGCAGACTGTGAAGCAAGTGCTCGCAGCTACTTGGAGAGCAACAGTCCAACAGCCCACCCAGACTGCCCGGAGATCATTCTTAGATGTCCAGTCCAGGTCTTTTTTTGTGGGGGGAGATAGGCTGCTTGACTTGATACGATGAGCTGAGATCTAGCATGGAGGTTTCTCTTAGGAAAATAGGAAGATAAGTGGAGTTCTGGCTTGTTGGAAGTGTTGGATTTGTAATATTGGTATATATATAGAGCAACAAAGCTGACCTAAGCCCCACAACCATTGAAGCCAAGAAAGGTGCTGCAGTTTAGGTGCAACTTTATCAACGTGCTTTTTGTGGCCCATGCATGAAGCCAACCAACCACGGGACTGGCATATGAGTACTGCAACTAGACGTGCAAGCAACAAACCAAAAGTCCTTTAGCAAAAAGTTGAGCCGACTGGAGGTTCGTCCAGTCTCATCCACGACCACGTGCCACGCCTTCCACTTCTGCATGGTCTTCACACATTGGAGAGATGCAATGGATGAAATCAAATTCCCGAACCTTTGGGGATGTCTCAAGCACAGTGTTTCTGACAGCAGGAATATCTTCAGCATCGCTCTTGGCTACGGCGACCTCAGCAGCATCAACCAGAATTTAGAGTAATTTAAACATTGGAGATACCCACACTTGACCCGTTACCCAGTTACATATTTAAAAAAAGTAAACATATGTATAGCAACGCACTTATGATGGTTTGGAAGATGAACACTTCGAACATTAAACAGATGCTTGTTCTCGGGGGGAAGAATCGGCGCAGTGTAGCGATTCTGTTCAACGAGCCAGGCTCAGTACGTGGCTGGAAGCACCCGGAACTTGCGTGCAGATGTGTCGGTCGCTTGGGCCTTTGCGGTCCTTCAGCTTCCTCAATACATGCCAGACGCTCGGACAGGCAAATTGACGAAGTCACAGTTGTAAGACTTTTCCACAGATTCGCGACTGAGCCTCAAAGATTCCTCCAGATTCCTCTTTGCAGTGGCGGCAGCTCTGTTCTAAGCTTGCTTGTTGATCCACATGCATGCGTGGGCCACCTTGGACTGTTCATGACACGAGAAGAACAACTTAAAGGATTTTTGGGCGAGGAAAAGGAACACACCAATGATGTAAAACTACAACAAGACATGGGAATCAAGATTTAAGATGGTGCCTCCAAATGTATTTAAAACAAAGGATTGGATGGATTTGGAAGATTTTTGTGTGTTCCTCCGAAGCTCCTCCACTGATCCTCTATCAGCACCCTACCTGGAAAGATACTCTAGCGTACAGTTTGTTGTAGAATGCTTTCATATTATATATATATTATATGATTATATATATATATATGTTTTCCATGATCACAAACTCATGATTTCTTTTGCCACCAACCCACTGTCCTTGGCTACCCGGATCGCGAAGGACGTTCTCCGGCTTTTGGACACTCACGCGACCTCCGCGGTGGACGTGCCACGAAGCGTCCTGGTGATGCTGCACGAGGTAGGCGTGGGGGGAGTGGCCGAGAGGGGTACTGAGAGGTAGGCCCTTCGGTAGGAGCCCCTAGTAGTGTCCTTGCTCCTAGTAGCGATGCCCTTTGCTCCTAGTAGCTTCTTGCTCCTAGTAGTAAGGCCAGGAGGCCCTAGTAGCGTCCTTGCTCCCGTGGCCCGAAGAAGAAACAAGCGGGCTTTTGGAACCTGGAGAGGGCAAGAAGGAGGAGTCGGCCGGGTGGCCAGATTTGTTTTGCAAAGAGGGCGGGTGGCATGAAGTCCATGCAAAGTGCCCCAGATGTCCACGGATGTCTCAGATTGAGATGCCATGCTTTCTTTGTGGAAATCCCTACAAGCATCCTTGCCACTCAAGGGGGGGAGAATCCAGGGAGAAAGAGGCTGTCGGGGTGTAAAACCTTGGACTTTGTATATTGGAATTGATGGATGTGTGTGCTGTCCTGCATGCAGGTATGTTCCTATGTAGCTTGTCATGGCCTGCACTCTGAGCTGGCCGTTCAGTGGCGTTCAGCGGCAGAGGAGACGAACAAGGAGGAGGCACAGGGTCCCGTTAGTTTGACTACGCTTGCCACACATTGTCGACAGAGCATTTTCAAGCCTTAAAAAAGATAGGTGGGGAGAGCTCTTCTGGATTTGGGTTCCGTAGATGTCAATGGGGTCGAGCAATTCTTGGGGATTCACGAAGACACGTCTCCGCCGTCACCTTCACTCACCCGGCACCGGTCGGCGAGGTCCGACCGTTTCGGGCTTCACGACGCCAGGTGGAGCGCTGGGCACGTTCGGGGTCGCCCCTGCGGGCGCAGGTCGCGCGGTGGTGAAGTCGTGCAACGACGAGAGTGGTCCAGGGCGCAGCTGGTCGGGGCTTGGTCTATTTTCCGAACCGATCCCAGGGGAACGCCGGCCCGGAGGTCTCACTTCGAATACACACCCATGTGACGACCCGAGTCACCACCCATGTTGTTTGATTTTTGTGAGGTTTGCGTGACATGTTTTATTGCTCCTGTCAGGTACGGAGTGCAGAGACGATGGTGGTAAATTCATACCTATATATACATTGGGGTGGTTTGAGGGGTCAATGCAAATAGGCATATATGACAGACATGGAGTGTTTGGGTAAGGAAAGAGACAGCTTCGGGACGATTCCTGCAGTTCCTGCACGCTCCGCGATCCTGGGCACTTTTTTGTGTTTTGTCCTCTTCAGGTGTTCGATCGGCCCAGAGGAAGATCCAAGGTATTTGTTCGAGGTGTGCACCGGGCTTCCGAGCGAGGTGCACCGGGCCCTCATGCCTGATCCGGGCTTCCAGGGTCCAGTGGCTTGGCTTTGTGGCTTCAGCGTGGACTTCCTGAACCAGAGGCCGGCGAGGGGCGCGGAGTGGTTCGATGGCGGATCTCAACGGCTGGCCGGATCTCTTCGTTGTTGGCTCTCGTCAATCGAAGAGATCGAAGAGAGTCCACCGATTGAGGCACTAGTGACTGCAAACGATCCAGATAAGGAAACAGCAACATGCAGTATCCACATGGGGAAATGAGCCAAGGATAGACAAGGTATTGGACATACTGGCATCGGGATCTCCACCATATTCCTGGATCCAGGAGAAGTGGACCATTCCCCAATCTGTCAAGGAGTTTGGCCATTCACATTTCCACATTCCATCTCGTTTTTCTTTTAACAGGACCTGCAAAGTGACCGTCCTTGAAAAGGCATGTAAAAGGTCACTTAGAGACTCCAAAGAGGTCACGAACTGAAGGTCCTGGCAAGTGTTTTCTTGTGCAGAACACCTTCTCCCCCCTCGCCCCATCGCCACAAAAAGCGTTTACAGATTCGACTTCGTGGGCATTTCACTGATTCGCTCGCTGTCGTGGCAGGTCCAAAACGGTGATCGATTTGGACCACATCTCTTGGCCCACCAGTCCCACCTTGCGGCACCTCTTGCTGAAGGAGAAGGGCTACCGGACGGATGCTCGTCCTGTTGGATGTGAAGACCTGACCGACGGTCGTCCTCAAAGAGCATAGCTAGGCGCTCCATCATGAGCCATGTGACTCTGGAAGGAGGTCGCCAGGTCGGCCAGGCGGATTTCTCCGTGTTCAAATCGGGGCCGAACTCGAGAAGTAACCGCCAGGTCCATCACCGAGACTCGGTTCGTCCCAGGCGCTCGTTCGGCGACTTGTTCGGCACTCCAGGTGGCGTTACCCTTTTGGGATCTGAAGCAATTGAGCTCCGAGGGTGGCGACTGGAGCGCCTTCCTGCGTGTGCACCTCGAGCTCGCGGGAAAAAAAGAAAGCGGGTTGGCTCCTCTTGGAGCGTTCTGAGCGAAGGGAGCGGTAGAGAGGTAGAGAGGTGATCTCGACAGTCGTGGGAAGCGAGACCCTGGCAGAGGGAATATCGACTAAGACTTGAAACGTTTACAGCTGCATTGGGTCTCGGTTCGGGGGCGAAAACTGTGGTGTCCGGATTGATTTGGCTGTACCGGGCACAATGACAACGAATTTGAACCTTCTGTCGATTTCATGGTCTTTCCCTACTACTGCCAGCAAGTGAGAGCGTGAAATCTCCGGGACCCTTCCTTTCTCAAGCTTCGCATGAACCACGACCTTGCCCGTGCCAGCCCACACCTTTTTTGCCCGGGCCAGCCCCGGGATGTCTTCCTTACGCATGCTTCCCACGTGTCCGAGTGCCCCACGTGAGCGGACAGGTCAAGGAGCGGAGCCGACGGAGCTCAAGGAGGCAGGGGCATGCTGCCTCGGAGCTCCCTCGGAGAGCAGCGCACGATGGCCTCTGTGGCATGGGAGACTTACAGCGCACTGCCAATTTGCCACAAGTCAAGTCAAGTCCGGTTCAAGTGATTCTTTTGGTTCAGCCTGAAGAAAAACTGGGACCTCTCAAGATTGGAAGGGTACATGGCTATAGCCATCACCATGTTAGTAGCAAGAAGCTCCTAGTAGCAGAGGGCATTTTACTAGGAGCAAGGACGCTACTAGTAGCTCCTGGCCTTACTACTAGGAGCAAGAAGCTACTAGTAACAAAGGGCATCGCTACTACTACTACTACTACTACTACTACTACTAGGAGCAAATAGCTACTAGTAACAATAAGCTATTGGTAAACCTGGTTGATCCGGAATGTTGGCACTGATGTCCTACGCCGGAGAGGGCCAATCTGTCCCGGAGCACACTTTTCAAGCCGGGCTTTTTGGGGTCTTTGATATTATCTGGAGGAATATGTATAGTTATTTGGTTTCAACTGCTACAGCAGGAGTGATTTACATATATTCGATACCCAACGGCTATTGCCGGTCTATCAACTCTTTTCTTAGGGTATGACCCCCCCACATCCCAGTGCTCTAAAAACGAGCACCACCACGGCAGCTTGTTGCCGCAGAGGCGGTGGAGGTGACCAAAACCTCACCACCCTTGAGGTGGGCGGAGAGACGGAGAGTGGATTTCAATGGGGGATGGGTCAAGACCATTCCAAACCTGGAGCCTGATGATGCCTGATGGTCGTCCATAGCGAACGACCGAAGAATGTAGGTCGGTCGGTATCCTGGTGCCATGATCCACAGCCACCTGTCAATCTGTTTACATCTTTTTCTTGCGGGGAGATGTGCAGGAATAAAGGAAATGAACACCTACCCTCGGACGAACTACATGGGAACTTGTGGAACACCAACCTCTTCGAAAAGGAACTCTTGTCGTCCCCAGGGTCACTTTCCACTTTCCATGTTCGAGGCTTCATACTGATGCTGGACATTGCTAGACCATTGGGGCTGGGATCCATTTCACCAGATGGCCCAGACTGGGCAAATGCTTTTCATCCATTTTGCCAAATCACATGGCATGCTTTGGGAAGTTGGCACGATTTTGCTCAAACCAAGATCATTCGGTTTGGGGTGTTTGGGGTGTCAACCCATCTAAGCCCTAAATAAAGCCCACAAGCACTGTAGTTATCTATCGTTTTTGTCGTCTATTTGGTACCCTACATTGGGTTTTTAACAAAGGGCCCATGGCTCGGCGTGGACGTGGTGCTTGGGAGGCCGGCGGAAGCCGTCGCACGGAAGTTGGCGCAGCAGGCGCTCGGGCAGAGGTGGCTCGGGTGTGACTCGTGTGAGGCCGGGAAGAGGGTGGCTGATGGTGGGGGTAGTTCTTTGATGGTTTCATGTTGTGATTGGGAGTGTTTGAATGGGAGTAGTAGAAAGCAAAAGATCAGTAGTGGATGCACTCAAACGAATTCAACACATGAAGCAAGACCAACAGCAAGGAGATAGCAGATGATATGAGACATGTGAACGCAAAGAAGGAGGGGTCCGCTGTACATGCTGCAGTTCCTGCAAAACTCCAGGCGAGGCAGGACGTAGCAACGAACCGCATGACAAGCTCAACAGAAGTGTAGAGTAGTCCATTGGTGACAACGAACAGGAAGGCTGGCAAGTGCACAAACACTTCATGACATAAAACCCAACTTCAGACACAAAGTACTTTAAACTTCCAGCCCCGAAAACTTTGTACTTTCAGCTCTGCAGGAAGTTGATTTCATGAGAATTAGCCTGTAGCAATGCTGATCTTTTTGCTCAACCCGTCGTTGACAGACTCCAACGAAAACGACGAAAACGCCGGGATTGGACTGTAGAGTCGCGTTTCCTCGTATGTAATCGACACATGAAAAGGTTTGGTGTGTCACATGTGTCGGACGTCGATAGCTTCTTGTTACTAATAGCGATGCACTTGTTACTACTAGCGTGGCACTTGTTACTACTAGTAAGGCACCTGTTA